GTTGGATTGTTCAAATCATAAAAGACTATGCAGAAGGAAAAAAAAAAAAAGGAATTTTCCCCTAATAGACTTTTCACTCGGCGCGCTTTGCTCATCATGTCCCCAAACAGATGGCTCCGCCAGCTCGGTGCCAGGCCTCTCAACCCCCTCCAAGCGCCGACGAATCTCCGACCGAGGACTTGCTGCATGCAGCAAAACGCAGCAGAGGGCCCAGCGCGGAGGCAACCGGAGCCTCCCAACGCGTAACAACGTCACCGAGGCAGGAGCGGCGCCGGGGAGCCCAGCGGAGCGGGGACGCCGGGATGAGAACCGCGCCGCAGCAGGGCTGTGCTGGGGACCGGGCGCTGCATCCAGTTCCAGCCATCCCATCCTCTGGCCAGCGGCCACGGGGATGGGCTGGGCGGCCACCTTACCTGTACTGGGTGACGGCAGGGTTGGCCTTGGCCGAGCAGTGGAACTTCACAGTGTTATCCTCTAGGACCGGCTGCGGCTCCACGGACAAGTTCACCAGGGGGGGGTCTGCAAAGAGACAGGGTAGGAGCCCGTCAGCGACCCGGAGACGCGGCCCAGCATCCTTTTGCCCGCTGCCTGCCGGGCTTCTGAGTCTGGAAAGCAAAATTTGGTTATAAGAAAACCCGGCAAAAGCCCCGAGGCTCCTCGATGCTGTGATACAACGCTTCGGGCTTTGTAGGACAGGCTCACGTCACGCACGTCTCTTGCCTGGGAGGACTTCAGTAAAGAAGGCAGAAAGGGGAGCCGCGCGCGCCGTTCGATGCAGCATTTCACTTCAAAAACCTTAATGCCGGCTCTGATTCCTGTTTAAGGAAATAAACTCGCCAGCTTTGATAAGCTCCCGTTTAATATCTCGCTGCGTAACGATGATCTTTTGTCTATCTGCTAACTCGAAAGTGGCATTTCTGCTCTTTCATCAGCCTAATCGTCCCTGCCAGGTCCTTACTGGTGTCACACGCCTTTCAGCTCTTCCAACTGGTGCTGGCTTGCTCTTCTCCTCTTTACATGATAAGCATCTCAATGCTTCAGCAGCAAACAAAACTTCAAGAGAACCGATGAAAGCAAGCAAGAAGAGCAAAGGGTGCAAGGTTTAGATGGGGGATAAGAATATCCAGAGCTGCAGTTTTTGCGGTGTCTGAGATGGGGTGGCAGACCCCCAGCTTCTGAAGGACGTGTCTGGTTTTGGTTAAGATGGGGCTGGAGGTAGCACAATGCTTGATTTCTGGCTCAGCCATTGCGAAGCCGTGGCTCTAACGCAACCCCAAGGAGCGTCGTCGTCTTTAATGGGGATGAAAGTTCTCCCTCCACCACCTTCCTCCACCACACACCAGCCCAGGAGACCTGGCTCTCAGGCTGCTGCTCAGCACCTTTGCTCGAGGGTACGGGCTCTAACGGGGACCGCCGATGCCAGAACCTCTTGACTGCCACCTCCCTCCTGGGTACCACTTTGCGACGGGCGCCACCT